GATTTGGTGTGCATAAAACATTTTATTGACTATAAGAATACTCTATAAAATATGTCAAAAAACTTTACATTTCTGTTGTTGTAAGACTTTGAATCCAGACAGTGTGCTTACATTATGAAGCATTACCCAGGTAATGAATTTGATCAGTTATATATTAAATGATGGTGTCAATGGGGTATGCCTGTAGTCAGTAAACAGTTAAAAAATCACCATTTAGTCAGTAAACTGTTGAAAAAAGCCTTAGTCAGTAAAATGATGTTTTGTTGCATTGTTTCCATGGTAACCAAATATAAAACATATCTCTATGATAACAAACAAAGCAAATGTGTGACACGTTTCGATAACATTGGCGTTACTCTTGTCACACATGACTGAACATGACTCACACATTGCTAAATAGCATCAAGGACCAAGAAAAACTTCCAAAGTATAAATTTTATGTTTACTAAAACAAGAAATTAATATCAACTACTTTGAAAGCAACCATTTAATGATGGTTTGATGCAATAATTGGTTATAAGAAAGTGAAATACATTAAAAATTGGACGCTACTCGGGTAAGCAGTTAAATCTTCTAAAAATAAATGAGTCGTCTGTGTTTACTAGTAATATTTTTAATACCGAGCTTTCAGCCTAAGCGGCCATTATCAAGGTAGAGTACACGTAAGATTTTAAACAACGCAAAAAACGGAAATCGCGCGAGGAAACATAGCAATACAGCGCGGGCTAATTATAATAGATAAAATGTAAATTAAATGAAATGGAATGAAATGAAATGGAGTGAAAAGAAAAGAAATGACAGACTATGACAGTGAAGCAATTAGATATATAATTATGTAACAAAAAACTTAAATGAACTTAAATAATGGTTTGTATGTTTATGGTATTGTTCTGCCAGTTAAATCTTCGTCGGTTATACGCTTGTGACTAGGAAAAAACAGCTTTATATGCTAGTCAGTTAACCGCATTGACACCCTCTTAAATGGATGATGTTCTTGACAACAGATGCCTGGTGTTAACCTGCCATGGAGTCAAATACTGTATTATTTGGTAACTCTTGCTGTAAGTGGTATTTTCCATGAAGTAGGGCATGCTATAGCTGCTGTCAGGTAATTGAGAATTATTATCATGGAACAATAAGGGTGGCAAGGGTGGTCTAGTGGTTAAGCTACTGGCCTCTCACCGCTGTGGTCCGGGTTCGATTCCTGGGCACGGACCATATGTTAGTTTGAGTTTGTTTGATGTGTTGTTCTCTCCCTTGMCACSARGGTTTTTCTCCGGGTCCTCCGGTTTTCCTCCCTCAGTAAAAATCAACATGTGAGGAGTGTTGTGTGCTAAAATAATTGATGTAGAGGTAGTGGTCATGAGCTATTATTTCAATAACAATTCTTAGTAGGGGACCTGTCAAGTGATTTTTGTCATAAGCATATCCACATCAAGTAACACTGATGTTTTATTCATCACTGGTGTATCATTTAAAACACAATTATCAGTTTCTGCTGTGATAATTGTACTTATGTATGCAAATACAGTTTCTCATGGACAGCTTCTTAATATTAGGTGGCTTTACTGTATTTAAAATGGTCCAATTCTTCTTTTACTGACATTAATACAGTCAATTGCATTAATGCTGGTCAGTTGAAAAGACGTAAAACAATAAGAAAGACATTTGCATAATATCATATTTTTTATTTATTTATTTTTTTTTTGCAAAAATATTTGACTAGCTCCAAAACTTCTTTACAATGTCTTTAACTAACATTTAACTCAATATTTATCTAAAGTTCATCATTACAATTCTTCCTGAGAATATTAAAAACCTTTTTATACTAATGACTTTGCTGTTATCTTTTACAGCCTTTTGCAAAAATTATGAGAATTGTTGAAATATCTAAATATCATAATATCGAGTGCATGATGGGTAATCCCGCGCAATGCCCTTAGTCCCTTGTCTTTGTAGTTTAGGGGTTTTTTTTGGTGACAGACTTATCCGTAGTTCTGAACATTTTCTCGATGTCAACAATGAATTCTTTAGCAAACCCGTGTGTTCCGGACAATATATGGATATGGATATTATGATATTTAGATATTTAGATAATTCTCATAATTTTTGCAAAAGGCTGTATGTCTTTATAAGTAAACAAATGAATGTTTTAACATCATTTACTTATTAACATTATTTACAATATACTTAACATTGTTTACAATATTAAAACATGGTTTACTTATAAAGACAAAAAGACAACAATAAAGTAAACAACTAAACAAAGACAACAACTAATCTTATTAAAATTGGATTGACTGTAATTCTGTTTAACCAAAAGGGAACAAGTACGTGTAAATGGTTTTGGTCTGTTCTTTATGGCRATATACCCAGGAGCCTATGTTGATCTTCATACAGATCAYCTAAAAGTGATATCATCTCTACGACAGCTTAGGATTTACTGTGCTGGAGTGTGGCATAATGTTGTCCTAGTGTTGCTAGGGTTACTGTTTCTATGGTTACTGCCATACTTGATAGTGCCTCTTTATAATACTGGCCAGGGTGCTGTTGTCATGGATGTTATCAAGGTAGGATTTTTTCTTATTGCGTATAACACTTTTGATGATCATTCATATTATCACAGCAACTTAGGGTGATCATATGCAAACAGCTCTGCAGTAGTGTGCAATTACAATATTGGATGGCATTTTGCAGTACACACTTTAATCACTTATGTAATAATTTTTAGAACTCAGCTATTCTATCTCAGAAAATATAATAATTATATTTTCTGAGATAGAATAGCTGAGTTCTAAAAATTATTACATAAGTGATTAAAGTGTGTACTGCAAAATGCCATCCATGATGCAATGCTGTGTTTTTTCCGGAGAGATTAAGAATTTCCCATTGTAGCAATAAATATAATTAATAATCAAGTGAAAATATACAAAAGTATCAGAATTATTAACAGAGAATTTCAATTATAAAAAAATTAAGTTCCAGCCAGCACGGATCGGAACAGATCATGTGACAGGTTGAGAAAACAATGGACAAACAATAGATAAGTTTTACAACAATAAAATTATTGAGTTTTTATTCAAAGATATAGCTCGTTATAGCTTGTATATTATAGCTCCCATTCGCAGCAAAAAGACAGGAAGCTCGTGAATCTTAGTAATGACTGTGGAGGAGGCTTGTAGCAAACAAAAGTAAACGTGAAGTGTTGTCTGAATCTATGTAYAGAATTCGCCGGTTTATGGCAGCATAAAACGAGGTGATACCATCATCAGTGTGTATGGCTGCCAAGTCTACAACAAACAAGACTGGTTGAACTGCATTTCTAAAACTCTTAGTAAACCACAGCATGGCTATTGTAGTGATATGATCACAGTTGCAAGAAAGAATTCATCCATTGGTTAGTAGTAATAATTTTAATTTTCCTTTATTTCTGATTAGTTGAGAGCCGTGATAAATAATGGTACATATCACGCTCATTGAGTGGTAGAGACTATAAAGGGAYTGAGACTGGATAGGAAAATGTCAGAAAAGTGCTAGACCATTGGCTGCCCAACTGTTGCTTGACAGAAAGAAAAGAACGAGTGCGCACGCTTTTATGTTATCGACACGCGCTCTTAGCAAAATGCGAATWAAGTAMTGCACCGAGTAAGAACTAGGGAAGCAAACGGCATAGGAATGCAAGAAGGTGTTAATTGTGCATTGTATAATCCATYCATMCCATTGGTCAAAACAKGAAAATCTGTTATAATTTCAAAAGTTAGCGAATTTTCTWATATTCTATTTAATTTCTGGTTTCGCTTTCATTAAAGCTTTCTTTTAGCTTTAATATTAAGGCAAATTTCTATGTGGGGAACATTGCAAATTAGAAGCATCTTTTGGCTATTGTTTTGAGTGCTTATGATTGGATAAGAGCTTTTAATACAAAAGAAACTTTGTTTCATAATAGAGTTTATCCACATTTTATTGCAAAAATGTGTTACCAACAGGTTAATACATAATCAGTGTGAAAACCAAGACATTCGTACATGGGGAACTTGCTATGCCGCAGAACAATAGAGAGCTCCCTARTTCTTTAGCGCATTGTTACTTAAGGTCTGTGGTACTACGTCACGATCCCGTGCCTYGCGGGACACAAACTAGTCTGTCACAGACAACTAGTTTGTGTCCCGCGAGGCACGGGATCGTGACGTTACCACAGGTAATCCACAAAGATTACGCCGAAAGCGTGCGCATTCGTTCTWTTCTCTCTCAAGCAATAGTTGGGCGGCCTGTGTGCTGGAGGGTCTATATTTTGTGAACGATATAGTGAATACAGTGTTCTTCAAGCATCTACTAGAATTAAATTTACAGTAATTCATCCTTTTCTTTTACAGGAGGGGTTTATGTTGATGGAGTATTTGACTGTTGCAAGAATGCATCTTCTTCAAGATATTGTTTCAACTATAACTCGATAAGTCATTCAAAGGTACAACAAAAATCTGTACTTAATACTAYGCATTGCACTCATTAACAAAGAATGAAGTCTTGGACAAATCTGGGTATGACAGAAGTTCTGACCTTGTAGCTCAACAGGTAGAGCATCGGTAGTACAAATAAGGTCTTGGGTTCDAATCCATGCGAAGTCAGAAATTAATTTGTCAGAATATATTTCCAAGGTCTTTCACCTGGAATAACCTCCTTTCAAAGCACTATAAATTTCCTTTATTTAAAGCTTATGTCATAAACTAAAAATCTGTTGTAAATGTCTGAAGTTTTATTTATTTTCATGGGCCTTTATATACAGTTAACCATTCCAAGTAAAACAGCCAGAGTGAGTGCTGACAAAAGTTGTCTTGTCTTTCTTTGTACAACAGGGCTATGCTTGCCTTCCTGCTAGAAGTACAATGCAAGTTCGAATGTTTTGTGATAAGCCTGAAGATTGTGCTGGTCCAGGTTAATGTTCTTATTATCCTCTTTTATTAGAGAGTTTTAGCATCACGTTGACGGCAAACGGCTAACGGCAGAGCTGAGCCAATGACCTAAGAATTTCGTGCCCGGCCTTGTGCTTTTGGTTATAAGATCATTTGAAAGAGCGGCTTTTCAGCGATTATGGCAACCTCAAAATAACCCGCTCTCGCGTTGAAACTGCAACGTTAAACTCAAAAAAGCAGGTCACGTGATCTTTTCTGCCGTTTGGCGTTTGCCGTGAACGTCATGCTAAACCTAATTATTGTTGCTGTTGTAATCGCCAAAGTTGTTGTGTTTTTGATGCTGTTTCTCCTGCAGTTGGTGCTGTTTCTATTGCATCTAATGTTGCTCCAGTTGGTGATATTGCTGTTATTGGATCTGCTGTCGATGCTGTTTCCATCGCTGTAGTTGTTGATGCAATCTTTATTGCTGCTGCAGTTGATGCTGTTTCTTTGAGTGCTGCAGTTKCTGCTTCTGTTGTTGCTTTTGCTGTTATTGTATTCGCTATTGTTACTGTTTCTTTTGCTGGAGTYGTTGATGCTTTTGCTGTTGCTACGTCTGCAGTTGTCGATRTTATTGTTATTGGTACTGCAGTTGTTGACGTTTTTATTGAATGGAAATTCAATCAAATGTTATTTTGTACCCTATACACTGTACTAATATCTTTTGGCATTATAACATTGCTCAAAGTGCTGGAAATTGCATTTCTGAGGTTCACAATTTCAATAATTCCTTCTCCCCTTCCCCTGCCTTCAGTGGTTGTGAACACCCGCAACTAAATATATGCTTTGTGGTCCCTGAGCATCTAAAACAGAAATAAATTATTGTACCTTTSTTAAATTCCAGGGTATAAAGCTTGTTTACATCCGTCTCTTGACAACTCTAGTCGACTATTAAGGATTATTAGGAGTAAAGATTCTGATGTCTTGTACGTTGGCGACCCGCGTCTTCTRCAGTATACCGGTAAATGGCATTTTCATACTATTTTAAWAAGGGCGCTTCCACAGGTAATCGAAAGTTATTGTAAATTTCGCAAATTTTGCAAAGTCTGAAAATTTCGTATCGTGCAGATAATTTACCATGGTCAGCTGGCATTCACTGTGCGTCGTGTCTTAGATTTCTTGACTTCAAATCGTTTAAAATGGCCTCCAACTCAGTTTCAGGTGCCATGAAATGAAGTAGGGATTAATCATTTAGTCATTCCGGTCTAAGGASGGTTGTGAAAGATAAGCTTTGAAGAYTTTGAGGGGTATTGGCGCGTACAGAGTCTTTTTTTTTTCTTTCTCTTTCTACTAACCTCATCAAGTGACATCTTCACGAATAATGACCGGACACCTGACAAGCTCGACATCGGGAAGGTCGGGTATCAGTTTCAGGTACAGCTTATAATGCTAAACAGTATCGGAGGTGACGAATAAGTCGAGGGAAGGATGCAGTCCCCTGGAAAGATACTCCAAGACCTGTTCCAGAAAGCCAATTGTGAAACTTTTAATTTCACAATGAATTTAAACGAATGCAAATTAGAGTCAATGGATAAACACTGAAGCTAGTTAACTAGTAAAGTCTTCTTGGACGATCTGAGCACCAGAGGGAGATGGGTTCAGGATTTTTTTGAAGGATGATTCTTTCGTCCTTTGTTGCGCTGCTCGAATTTTTTTCTATCTTTCTTGCAGGACATTTTGCAGGTTATTTTGATATGTTATTCTACACGAGTTCTACTCCAAAGACATCTCGTTGAAGTCAGTTATTCATGCAAATTCGGCAAATTCGTTGGGAACAAAAAAAGAAAAGTCATAGCAAAGTAGATTGTACGAGTATTATTGAGTTGCAGTTAGCTAGTTTCCATGGGAAATATTTGTTACTCATGCCAACGAGCTTATGAGCAGAATTCAATACTCGGGATATTGTGTGAAGTTTAGAAATGAAGTATTCTCATCAGTAATGAAAACCTACCACAAGATAAGAGAGGACGACGATGAAAAGATTAGACCTATGTACAGACCTAGACAATGGAAAAGAGAACAAAGAGAAAGAGAGAAGAAGGAAAAGCAAAAGAAATGSTACAGCAAAGAAGGGCATGAGTCAGTCATTTTTGTACCAGCCACACCTAAATCCKAGCTTAAAATACTGATGCAGTACAAAGTGAAGATACAGGGATTGAAGATAAAGATTGTGGAACAAGCAGGAATATCGCTGAAAAAGGTCGTGCAGCGGTCTGATCCACTAAAACAAAGCTCGTGCGACAGAGAAGATTGGTTAGCGTGTAAAGGGTGTGATGGAGAAAAAGGGTCGTGTGATGCAAATTTCGTAACGTATGAAATCAAGTGCAAAGAATGTAGGGATGTCTATGTCGGCGAAACTTCGAAAAACGCATACAGCTATTTCATAGATTTTTGTGTAAAACTTAAAGGCTCTCAAATTTGCGAACATAACTTCTATATTACTGTGACAGAATAGCCCACTATTCGATATTGTGCAGGACTTACTCCGGGGAAACAATATACACTTAATGACTGTTCCCAAGGGAAACGGTTAGTTTTGTTTCCCGAGAATCTCAATGTTTCCCGAAGTACGTCAGTCAACAGTTGATTTTAGCTCCGGACACGTGACGGCGAATCGTCCAATAAGAGAGCGAGAAAATAGTGAAAATAATTTACCAATATAACAATAACTAATTATTTTTTCCAGAATGAGCAGCCTAAGCTCAGTTTTGCATGACTTTTGTCTATTGAACAAATATAGACATTCACCGAACCGTCTAGTCTCCTCGCAGCCGTTCTTAGTGTCGGGCTCCCTGTTCGGGGGACAGGGAGCCCGCCAYTAAGAACGGCTGCGAGGAGACTACGAACCGTCATTAGATATTAAATTTTGTCTTTTTTGAAAGCTCGTCTTTCGAACTTCGTGATTCAAAGTACTAGATGAATGCAAGCGTGTATATAAAGTTAGGATAAACAAAAATTCAAGTTAAAACAAAAAATGTAATAATAAGCTTAAAGTGCAAATTATCTCTATTTTTCTAAAGTTTAGAAAAGTCGCCTTGTAAAAATTAAAATAATACTTGGTGCCTTCATGAAAATCGGTTAAAATCTCGTTGTTTTGTGAATCATTAAAGTTAATAAATTTTTGATAATTCCAAAATGGCCGCGAACTATCATAGGGGGCTGAGTCGAGCCTAGTATGACGTCTTCTAGAGAACCAAAGTTCTCACATCGGTTGATTTATGAACTAAGAATTGTTGAAAGCAAGTTGGCTTATAATTCAAAAGGCGTTCATAACAGGAATGAATACCTTCAAATCTCCACCATTTACTTTGAAAAGCTCCAGAAATGGGAGAGACGATTTCTTTAGAGAGAGACGATATTGTGGACTATCGGGGAAACAATAGAACTTATTTTATTTTTCCCCCACACTGAGCAACTGATAAGGTCTTTTGTGAATTCAACCAAAATATGTAGAATTGTCTATTGAACAAATATAGACATTCACAAAACCGTGGTTAATTAATTGCAATAATCTCATTATTAAAATTTAACAACTTCTGTCTTATTAGAAAGCTCGTCCTTCGAAGTTCGCGATTCAAAGTCCAAACATCCTGAATGGAAGTATTTTGAGTCGTACAAATTTTGTTCATTTATAGAAGAATGAACGGATTGGTAGAAGATAGTTTGTATCTGAAACAAATCAAAGTCACGTTTTATTCCAAAAGTTTGTTTGAAGTATAAGGGACGAGCCATTCTGTTTTTTTTAGGGGGGGGTTGAAAAATGCAAAAAATAATATGCTCTAGCACAGTCCGAGCCAAAAAAAAAAATTCTTGCACAGCGACTCATCCATTAACCTTTTTGCCATAGATTTATAACCCCGAAAATTTGAAACACTGAATTCAGGGTGAAAAAAATATTTGGTCAACACAATGAACAAAACAAAAAGATGGCCAATGACCCGTCCCTTGAATATATATAGCTCTTACCAAGTCTCACTGCTACGCAATGCATTGTTTTTCAAGTAAACAGTTATTGACTTCATCATTACATCACATCAACCCCACAAAGTCACAATCAGTCTTCTGAAGCGTAAGCAGTAACAAAGTGACAAAGTACAAATTGACTTCCCTAAGTCCGTTCCCTAAGACAAAATGCTTTGGATACTCAGATTGATTTGGAATRTAATTGGAACCTCGAGTTTCATCAGTAGAAGGCATCGTTGGACACTGATGATCATCAGCCAAATCATCGAGATTGTGATTGGTGGCATATTTCTCTTCACAGAAATATATCCCGAGTTCAATGAAAGCAAACGTTTTCCAGAACGTTTCGAAAATCCAGAAGGTTACAGAAAAACTGCATACGCCTACATCTGGTTGTTCTCAATTGAAGTCCTTATGGATATAGCTTTTTGGATGTATGTCGTGCAAAAACGCGGGGAGGATATATCTGTAGTTATCTCATTGTTGTCGTCCGTTGTTTGCGAAATACCACTCATGATGTGTGGAACATACCTGATGAAGGCCAAAAGGACAATAAACTGGGATGATGAAAAAGTTGAGCTCCTATTTCAAATTTGGTGTTTTATCAACATCATGGTGCACATCATCGCCAACACAGCAGAAAGAGTCTATTACTGGGGAGTTATCATCATTGCTCCCTTTTCTTATTTGATTGCATGTATGCTTTATGCATTTGTGATCATTCCAATGTCTGGATGGCATTGGTTGCCTTCGTTTCCGGATAGCCACCAATTTCTCCACGGCACATTTAACTCTACTATCACAGAAAGTATGTTGTTCTTCTTGGTGTTGAGTGGTTTTGTTGGGCAGTGGCTTTGGAGAGTATTTAGTCTTAACGCCATCTTAATTTGTTGCTTGATTGTGGTAGTAAAGTATGGGAATGCTATTTGATAGCACGTGTCGCACACTGTTGGTAATACTCTAGATGGAACGCAAAATTAGAAACAAGTTAAGGGTAGTTTACAAGAATATGCTCATTTCAGCGGGATTGATAATGATGAAAACTGACTGTCCTTTGTATTCATCGTCTGCCGAGAACTTGTAGGCTGTAACTTCCATTGCTTGTCTTACAAACTTTATCAGAGAGATGAGACTGGATAGTAAAGTTTTAGAATGGGAGACGCTAAACAGAACAGAGACAAGAAAAGTCGGCTCTAGATTTCATCTCGTAATCGCATCATAGAGAATTTGATTGGATGAGTGCGAAAACACTCACTTTGATATTGGTTGTAAATTATCTCATTTAAAGTTATAATTAACTATTAACATTTTTCATACAGCACCGGCTGGAATCACATGTACCCTGGTTTGCAGTCAGTTCACTTACTTAACACGTGTAGAGAACAAGAGCTGGAACTGTCGTGTATTATATTAAAACTACAGTTTATAGACATTTTCAAACACTATTGATCTGTGATTAAAAATAAAAGTTACCTTCATCGAATTTTCTAAATATTCTGATTTCAAACTTGTAAGATTAAGTGTTAATAGGAATTTAGAATCTTATGTAAAAACCAAACTCAATTGATTAAAGCGTATACCATTCCAGTCGAAAAACAAAGACCCGCGTGTTTTGCCAAAATATCAAGAGCTAAGTTAATTTACAGTGTACTAGTGACGGTCTATGCATTTTTGTAATTTTTCAAACACAGAATGCTGGCATTCTAAAATCTGAGAAAAATCGATGGATTTTTGCGCGCACGGAAAGACAAACAATTTTAATATCACTGTTTGAATATTGGTTGGTGTTGATTGAAGTCCCGAATTCGCATCAAAAGGTTAATGATTAAACTATATTATGTGAAAATCAGAACTATGGGGTCATTTTTAATGTGGAGCGAGCGACTTAAAAAATAGACAAATTTTAAACGCCGCTTATTGGGTGTACCGTTATAAGTTGATATTTATTTCGAAAAATCTAGATTCTGAAATGCAAATTTTTGTTATTGAAGACAATTGAAGAGTTTGAGACGATTTCTTTAGAGAAAGACGATATTATGGACTTATTCCAGGGAAACAATAGAAATTTTTGTTTATTTTATTCTCCCCACTGAGCAACTCATAATAAGCTCTTTTGTGAATTCAACCAAAATATGTAGAATTGTCTATTGAACAAATATAGACATTCACAAAACCGTGGTTAATTTATTCCAATAATCTCATATTATTTCGAAGTTCGTGATTCAAATCTTGAATGGAAGTATTTTGAGTCGTACAAATTATGTTCATTTATAGAAGAATAAACGGTTTGGTAGAAGATAGTTTGTATCTGTCAGATTCATTACCTACTAGTGCACGATAAAAAGGTTACCAGTTCAATATCCAATCTATAAGCATAAATATTAGCTACGGAATTTATCAGACCAACGTATTTATCTGCAACTTTGGGAAGTTGTCGTATTGCAGTTCTTGATTCGCTCTCATAAAATTATCAGCTTCGACGAATAGTAGTTCAACGGCTTCAAGCGTCTCAATAGAGTGTTTCATTATCACAGCGGTAATGTTAGCTTTGTTACGTCTATCATCTTTGTCTCATTAGAACCTTTGGGTAAAGGTTTATTTGCGTCCACAKGAAATAATCAGCGGTCATGCTGTGCCTTTTGGAAGTCTAAAGAGGTAGCAGCTGGCCATGGGTTGTCTGTGAGGAGATTCAGTATCAGTATCACCCCCTCTGCTTTCTCTTCTATCCTTTGCGGACACTGTAGTATTAGACGGAGGGAAAGTGTATAAACAATTGTTGTTTCATAGTTTGAGAAGGCATCAGTACATCTTGCTCCTTTTTTAAGAGCTAACCTAGGATTTGCGCTAATCAAACTTTGAAAAATTCGGCCATGATGCTTTTTTTCGKGGATATTTTGCGTACTGGGTGTAGTGTTTACTAAAGATCGCCAAACCGCAGTAAAATGATGCCATTAAAGATATTTATGACATCTTCTTCTATATGCTGGGCAATGATGCATTGTTAGTGGTCGTGTCCTGAAGCCAATCCGAATGGCAGAAAGAGGAATTTCATTTCAAATTTAAGTTGTTGACAGAAAGTCACGTGCAGTCAGCAGAAAAGTCTGAGTGAGCTGTTTTGAAGGGGTTAAACCCTGGGTTAACGCTAATCGGGATTTGAACAACTCGGCCCAGAGTGGTACACTTAGTGTGCTTCTCCCAAATCTGTAAATAATTTATGCCTATTGTATTCGTAAGTCTTTGCGCGTAAATGTATAATCTGAGACAAACAAAATAAAGGGAAGAAAACAAGGTACAAAACAAGGTGTTTCCTTACGATGAATGCTTCAATAAAACTGTTAAACTAAGAGATTTATGTGAATTCATATAAGGCCTAAAGATACGCACTATTGCTCAGAAAAATCGCCAAGWACCATAATTTCATTCGAGGAGCCWCTTAAAAAATGGTTYGACCAACGCTTTGATAAAAAAATCTTTGATGAAGTTCTAGTCTATTGAGCGGTACCCTCCAATCGTTGTACAGGCCAAATCAAGACTGATACACATGATAAGTATGTCRCTGTGAMTCTGAATAACTAACTAGCACATGGAACCGAGAAAACTCGCACTTCAGGATGTCGGTTGACCATGGTCTTTTTACGCTTATTTTTCGGCTTAACTGCATATACCCTGATTGAAACATTTTTATGAACCAATTGAATATGCGAATCGAAATTAAAACGTGTCCATATCATTGCTTCATTGTTAAAATCCAAAGTTACTTTATTTATTTTTATACCCATTTTGACGAGGGTATGCATTGAAATTTCCGACAGAGGGTCATCAAGTAAGATAGGAGCAGAAAGAGAATTAATCAACAAGATAACTGGTACATAATCTACAACCGAAACACTTCGAATCAAACTATGATACGCTCTTAAAGTTTTACTATGAAAAAAGTATATAATCAACATTTTAGAGTTACAATTAAAGTGAAGAACTATACCTTAATACAGGGGCGGCGGAGCGTTTTTGGCCCTGGCGGGGTACGAAGATTATATAATATTGTGGTCAAGAAATATWTTTTTTTATTCATCAAGCTTTCATTTTGCAGTAAATATAACTSTTAATGAATTACATTATAGGAAAATACAACGAGCTTTTATCATCAAACAAAAATGCGGGGGGAGGGGGGRCTGCCCCTGTAATAAGTGTATTCCTCCAAAGCTTTTRATACCCCAAAAAACATTAGAAGCAAGGAACAAACTTGTTTGAGCTGATGCACAAAAAATTAAAACTTAAGTTTTCTTAACTTTGCATTCAGTTTCCTCTGCTCATTGAAAATTTCTTTTCTTTTTTCAGTATTAATCACGAACTTCAGCCCTAGAAGTCCTCTTCTTCCTCTAGATCTTCCCAACATAATCGAAACGTGGCTAATGTATCCTTATAACTGTGACTTATGATGATGATTTTTCCTCCAGACGATGATATGTACAAAAATGTGAACCCATCTCGGGTTCAACACCCTTATAAATGGGAGCAGGGGTCCTCGTCGGAAATTCTGAAATTGACTCTTATGGATCATTATTTGCAAAATGCCAAATCGTTTGTTTGATGTTCGACGCTTCTTTCAAGCAATTAAAAGGAAACATTTGTACCTATACTATTATATATTCGAATTGTATTTTATTCAGGTAATTATTGATTTATATGGCAATTAGCATATGTACTGCTTAAACTGTTTYTTTATTGGTCTCTGTTATTTTGCTGAAAATTTTAGTTGCCATTTATATAAAAATAAGACACAATCTGACCAATTYTCAACATCAAATAGCCGATTTAGCAATTTGCAAATAAATCATATGATCAACCTTAAAAGGGACCTGTATTGTGAGATGATGGGCGTGACACTGAAGAACGTTTGTCCMAAGACTGAGAAATGAATAAAAAGTCATTTTGCTACGATTTCATAATTTATTTGTGCTTTGGCACTAGCATCAAACGCCGTCTGCTCATAGGAGTTCGCCTGCGTAGCCAGAGAATTTGGTCTCTCGGAACGTCCTTGCTACGCAGGTTAATCGGAGTTTATGGCGACGTAGTAGCATTGTTCTTGTSCTTTTACCGCCGGCATAGGGTCTTGTTATACCTTTAAAGGGACCACAAATCGTATTTGGCAGGGACGACGAGGACCTCTTTCATGTCTTATWYAGGATGTCAAATTGATCTATAGTAGAGTATAAGTCAAAATGAAAACCAAATACTAAGAAAAGCGATRACAAATTGACATTTTTTACGGAACACTCCCTGGTTTATGTCAACTCTCAAGTCTTGGATAAGGTCTACATCTCACCAATTTGTATGGAATTCACGATTTTGTTGTCTTGAATAGGTTCAGGGTAGGTTCAAGCATTGGAAAAAATCGCGCGCTTTAAAGGTTCTAAATTTGATGTAAATATGATGTAAGTGTCCAAAATGCTGTAAATTTGATGTAAATGATTTCCATTAAATTTACAGAATTATGGATACTTACACTTTTACTTCAAATTTACAACCTTTATAGCCCGCGATTTTTTCCAGTGAAGGTACCAGGGAAACGTCGCCATTRAATTCTGGATSAAGTCCTGATACTGATAAGTGATTACTGATACTACTAACATTATGCAACCTTAACACCATTTCAGRTATCTAGTTTCGTTATCAGGGGCACTGGCACTCTTGAATATGGTCCCTTGTTATTCTTTGGACGGACAATGGGCTCTTTTTGCACTAGTTGATTACTCACTTGTCAAGATAGTTCCCAGCGAGGACCAAAGAAGTACCCTTTGTAACGTAATACTGACCCTAGGGACTCTTTTGTTAGTGGCCAACATCACTCTTGCATTATGGACCTTGACAAGCGTGTAACCACTGTTTTTGTAATTATATATGGTGTATAAAGAAATAAAATAATTTATAGCAGGAGTCGTTACATCTTGACTTTGGAGATCGTTTAGAATTTGTTCTTAAGTGGAGATGTTATTTTTTTTATGAAGCTATATTTTATGAATGTCATTCAAAGTGTTTCTGAAGATTTTTTCTGTTTTTTCCTTTGTCGCACCAACTTGCCTACC